TTTTTTTTTTTTCCTCTCCACGCATTTTTTGGGAATACATGTTTTTTTTTTTTTTTTTTTGAGGGAATATAAAAGAAAGAAAAAAAAAGGGATCTTATAGAGACTGAAATGCCGAGCATTCCATTGGTTGCAGAGCTTGGTGCGAAAAGTGGTGAGTTTCAGCGTTTGCTGGACTCAACTGAAGCACCTGAATCCGTTAAGAGGAAGCTTCGAGAAACTATGGATCCAAAGGAACTTTTCACATCTCAAGATTCCAGAGTTTTTGTCCGATGTCGACCCATTATACCATTTGATCAAGAGGATATGAATAAAAAAACTATTATTCGAAAAGTAGAAGGTTATCGTGATCTTGTTGTTATGGCTCCAAAGATTTCCTTAGCTGGTCAATGTTTACTTGAACCTCATATTGTAAATCTTGATGGTGTTTTTGCAGAAGCCGATACCACCGAAAAGGTATATATAGAGTCTTGCAGTCCTTTGGTTAATTTATCGGTTGAAGGAGGCTCTACATGTGTTTTATGTTATGGACAAACGGGAAGTGGTAAAACTTATACAACAACTGGAATTCTTCAATTTGTGTCAAGAGATTTGGCTCCTTATTTCTCTTCGCATGATATATTTATAACAGTTATTGAAGTTCAAGCCGGTAAAACTATTGATCTTCTTACTGGTACTGAAGTTCAAGTTGTTGAAGATGTTTCAGGGGAACTTAAGATTCGAGGTGCTGATGCTTTTGAATGTTCTAATGATGAAATGTTATGGGCAGCTTTTGAGGAAGCAGCTTCACAAAGAGTAACAAAGGCTACAGGAAGAAATGAGGTCTCTTCGCGTTCACATATGGTAACTTGTATACGAATTGTCTCAAAAACTAGTAATTGGGCAAAACCAGGAGAATTATTTATTGTGGATCTTGCAGGAAGTGAAAATACAGCTGATAGCGCAACACATGATAAAGAACGTCAAATGGAAGCAAAATTTATTAATACTTCACTTATGACGTTAAAAGAATGTATTCGTACACGTGCAATGGCGGCAACAAGTACCAATCATTTACATATTCCTTTTAGAAGATCACCTTTAACTCTTTTGTTGCGAGATTGTTTTGAAATTGCTGTAAAACGACCAACAAAAACAGTGGTAATAGCATGTATTTCACCATTATTAAGGGATGCAAGACATACATTTAATACTTTAAGATATGCATCTCTACTTGCAGTTTCACCACCTGCACGTGTCGTTGCAGATGACCCTGATGATCCAAATGGATTTGACAGAAAACAAGCTTTGGAATTTTTGTGTCAATGTTCCAGAGGAAGAATTACTGAACCTGAATCTATTCTTCCTGAAGGAGATGGACGTACATTGGTTCATATTCCTGAAGCAGAATTTATTCGTCGTATTTTGGATTCTCATTCTAACATTGGTGAAAAGGGAGCAAAACAGATATATACTTCCGTCTGGCAAAAAGTTGTTGATGCAAGGACGAAAGGTCGAAAGGTCATGACAGCAGCGAAGAAAGCTCCTGTTGGACCACGATGCGCATATACAAGAAAGTAAAGAACCAGTTGCAGTACCTTTTTTTTTTTTTTTCTTATTCACTTCGCATCTACTTGTTTACTTTTTTTTTTGTTTTCGTTGTTGGAGCCGTTGTTATTGTTCTGTTTTTTGTCTTTTTCCCTCAAAAAGAAAAAAATGTTTTTTTTTTTTTTTTTTTTGCAGAAGGGTAAGAAACCAAAATAAGTATTTCGAACGGGATGATTTGTGGAGTTCTTTTTTATTTTTAATAAAAAAA